CCCATCTCTCAGAGGCTGCCCTGGACGATGACTGGGGAAATCACCTGCACTCCATACAGCATGCAGATCTTGTTGAAAGGTTGGTGCTTGAAGCGACAACTCGGATGGCGCCTAGGGTTAGCACCTGTCCAGGATTCACCCGGACAGTCCGGGTTTTGAATACTGTGTCCAGGTTTCATGGCAGCTGAAACCCGGACAGAAGATATCAGGCAGACAGGGGCTACCAAGATTAAGATAGGGGCTACTAGCCTCCCACTGAAAATAGTCTCAACTGTGATATTTACACACGAATGGGTGGCATTATTTATATATGAATAAGCTGCAACTCATTCTCCCCTATGAAGTTCCGTGCGTCACTAGAGTGTTCGGGTTTCGCGGGAAGAAAAGGTGGCAACCCTAATGGCGCCGTGTCAGATACAGTCCATAATGGAAGTCACCAGCACTCGATGGTATGTGCAAGAAGTAAAGCACTTTTTATTAAACTGTCGCATGCTTCATACAGCCTTCCATTCAGGCTGCACGACACTTGTGACAGTTTAATAAAAAGTGCTTTACTTCTTGCACATACCATCGAGTGCTGGTGACTTCCATTATGGACTGTTATGTTGTGAAGTAGTCACTGCTCCAAGCTCAATCCCAGGATGGACTGCAGTCTTATGCTTAATTTACTAATTTGTATTGAGATTGTAGTCCATCCCAGGAGTGAGCTTGGAGCGGTGACTACTTTACAACAGGCTGGTTAAGGTATCGCCAACTGCCTGAAAAACAATCCCCAGAAATGCTGCCGTGTCTGGTATTGTAAGGAAAGAAGGGCAGACACCCCCTTTTACTGTCCCGATTGCCCTTCAAAACCTGGCCTGTGCATTGGCACTTGGTTTAAACTCTACAAATATTTTTGGCGCCCCCCTGGAAAGTGCCGCCCTAGGCAAATGCCTAGTTTGCCTTGCAGTAGATACACCCCTGCACATAATACACAATACACATTTTAAAATACTTATCTGCAAAATAAGGTTATCTATCTATCTATCTATCTATCTATCTATCTATCTATCTATCTGTCTGTCTGTCTGTCTGTCTGTCTATCTATCATATCTGTCTGTCTATCTATCTATCTATCTATCTATCTATCTATCTATCTATCTATCTATCTATCTATCAGACCCCAGATGACTCCATAAAGAGAACCTATGACCTCCAAACGCTATCACATAGGGGCGGTAATAGCCTTAAGGGCCTGTTCACATGAGTTTCAGGTCCTGATCAGGTGCGGATCAGCAGACGCGGTGCTATGTGTTTTGACGCATTTTAGATGCGTTCCAGTGGAGTGGGGCTGTCAGTATGTTAGCTGCAGTGCAGTGCGTTTGACGCGTTTTGCATTTCCGAACTGTTTCCTGACCGTACAAAATGTGACATGCAGTATTTTTCTGTCGTAACCTGAACGGACTGCGCACGTGAGAACTGTAGCCAATAAAACACATAGGGATACATTGGGATGCATTTTTAGTGCAGGAGCGTACGGATCAGGTCAGCACAGAAAACGGACGTCGTGTGAATAGGCCCTTAAAGCGTTACCTATGGGAAATTTTGAGCACCATAGTTTTGCTCCATTACACGGTCGCACGCAGTTTTAATGCATTACAAGTTTGTTATCTATTCACTCGATGTAACCCTGTCTTTTAACTATCTATCTATCTATCTATCAGACCCCAGATGACTCCATAAAGAGAACCTATGACCTCCAAACGCTATCACATAGGGGCGGTAATAGCCTTAAGGGCCTGTTCACATGAGTTTCAGGTCCTGATCAGGTGCGGATCAGCAGACGCGGTGCTATGTGTTTTGACGCATTTTAGATGCGTTCCAGTGGAGTGGGGCTGTCAGTATGTTAGCTGCAGTGCAGTGCGTTCTTGACACGTTTTTGATGCGTTTTGTGTTTCCGGTCCGTTTCCTGACCGTACAAAATGTGACATGCAGTATTTTTCTGTCGTAACCTGAACGGACTGCGCACGTGAGAATTGTAGCCCATAAAACACATAGGGATACATTGGGATGCATTTTTAGTGCAGGAGCGTACGGATCAGGTCAGCACAGAAAACGGACGTCGTGTGAATAGGCCCTTAAAGCGTTACCTATGGGAAATTTTGAGCACCATAGTTTTGCTCCATTACACGGTCGCACGCAGTTTTAATGCATTACAAGTTTGTTATCTATTCACTCGATGTAACCCTGTCTTTTACCAAAACAATGAGTATTAAACTGTGCTTCTGTTCACTAAAATTCATAAAAAAAATTTTTTCCCTAAAAATATTGTTTTGGTAAACATTTGTGTGAATATAGTGCGGCATTTTTTATGCTACAAGACCTCACCCTTCAGAAAATATATACATGTTTGGGGGTTTAAAGTAACTTCCTATCCAAAAATTCAGATTTTGGCATGTGTATGCAGCAGTGTTAAAACTAGAGATGCCCCCATTCCATATTTTCCAGACTGAGTATGAGTAACGATACTTTTCCTCAGGTACTCGCCCATACCAAATACTGATACTTTATTTTTAGTGTCATGTGACAGTTTTTCTAAAACAATACAGACTAATGATTTTAGGACAGTGGTGGAGTGCCAGGGCCCGGGCACAGCTGCAACCACTGCAACCCTGGTAGTTCTGCCACTGACTCCGAGCTATAGAGGGACTACAAATCTCAGCAATACATTATACAGCAAAGGAGAAGACCACCAGCTATAGAGGACTACAAATCCCAGCAATACATTATACAGCAATGCAGAATAATACCATCAGCTATAGCGGACTATAAATCCCAGCCATACATTATACAGCAATGCAGAATAATACCATCAGCTATAGAGGACTACAAATCCCAGCAATACATTATACAGCAATGCAGAATAATACCATCAGCTATAGCGGACTATAAATCCCAGCCATACATTATACAGCAATGCAGAATAATACCATCAGCTATAGAGGACTATAAATCCCAGCAATACATTATACAGCAATGCAGAATAATACCATCAGCTATAGAGGACTATAAATCCCAGCAATACATTATACAGCAATGCTGAATAATATGAAGTTACATAGTCTGTGCTGTTCTGTGGTGCCGGAGGGATGTCTCCAGTGGAGGATCTCAGTTGGCTGTGCGGGGTCTCAGGAGGGCTGTCCAGGGTCTCGGGGGGGCTGTGGTGGGTCTCAGGTGGACTGTGTGGGGTCTCAGGAGGCTGACCAGCATCTCAGGGGGCTGTGCGGGGTCTCAACAGGGCTGTGCAAGGTCTCACCAGGGTTATTCGGGGTCTTAGGAGCCTGTGCAGGGTTTCACCAGGGTTGTGTGGGGTCTCAGGAGGCTGTGCGGGTTTTCCTCAGGGTTGTGCAGGGTCTCAGGTGGGCTGTACAGGGTCTCCGGTGGACTGTGTGGGGTCTTAGGAGGGCTGTGCAGGGTACCACCAGGGCTGTGCAGTGTCTCAAGAGGGCTGTGTGGGGTCTCAGGAGGCTGTGCGGGGTTTCACTAGGGCTGTGTGGGGTCTCACCAGGGCTGTGAAGGGTCCCTGGTGGGCTGTGCAGGGTTTCACTAGGGCTGTGAGTGGTCTCACCAGGGCTGTGAGGGGTCTCACCAGGGCTGTGCAGGGTTTCACCAGGGGTACGGAGGGACTCATGGGTGGCGTGGTTCCCCAAGGAGGGAGAATAGTACATCAAAAAATGCCCATATATTGGCAGCGATACTGATAAGTGTATGGGTGCATGGCACCCCTAGTTAAAACAGTCCCAGTCCTTCACCTACAACATGGCCAAAACAGTCCCGTCATGAAGGAGTCAATGTCTCTGTTAAAGCTGAATGTAAACAGCCTTTATTTGATGACATTGGTACATGTCTCCCCCATGGCAGTGCTCGGCCTCTTATGACTTCTTTTTATCAGTAGTTTACCTATTAGCCCTAAAAATGGCCTGAATATAACACGACCCCCACCACAGACATAGACAGAGGGATTTCTATCAGGTGTTGACTGAATTTTGAAGCACATTCGTGGATGACAAGGATTCATATTCTGCGTTGGCAGGGGGCGCTGTGGGCAGCAGGCAGACGCTCTGTACACAGCAATGAGCGGTCACGGCAAACTTCCGGGTCACAGGGGACGGGCTGTCATTGCACCGGGATGCTCCGCTTCGTACTATGCGGGAGACGCCTGGAGGGGGTGCTGCGGGTCACCTGTAGGGGTGCGGTGGGGGGCCGCCTATGTGCGGCCAGAGGAGGAGAGCGGAGCCTGGTGTGCACCTCCCAGGTGCGAGCAGTCTGCAAGGAGTGTGTGTAGTGTACTCATGGGACACAGTGCATGGAGTGTGTGTAGTGTACTCATGGGGCACAGTGCATGGAGTGTGTGTAGTGCACTCTTGGGGCACACCGTGCATGGAGTGTGTGTAGTGCACTCTTGGGGCACACGGTGCAGGGAGTATATATAGTGCACTCTTGGGGCACACCGTGCATGGAGTATGTATAGTGCACTCTTGGGGCACACCGTGCATGGAGTATGTATAGTGCACTCTTGGGGCACACCGTGCATGGAGTATGTATAGTGCACTCTTGGGGCACACAGTGCATGGAGTATGTATAGTGTACTCTTGGGGCACACAGTGTACTCTTGGGGCACACAGTGCATGGAGTGTGTATAGTGTACTCTTGGGGCACACAGTGCATGGAGTGTGTATAGTGTACTCTTGGGGCACACAGTGCACGGAGTGTGTAAAGTGTACTGGGTTAGTGATCATTAAAGAAACCTGTTTATAATGCACACCCTGCTGGTGCCTCATATTGAAAACATTTCCTCTCACTTCCTGTTGAGTCTACAGGACAGGAAATGAAGCAGAATCTCGCTGAGACACAGATGACAACCCCCACCCCCAACTATTAATGGTTTTCACCCTCCCCCACTCTATCCAAAAATGACAAAAACAGGGTTTGCCTTTAGATATACTTAACCCTTCATTCCCCGATCTGAAGCTAGAAAAGGAAGTTCAGTCTTGATGTGGAAGAGGAGGTGAAGAGGTGCTGCTGGTAGGGGGGTGTTGGGTGGCCTTAGACCTGTATGGACAAGTTGTAGGGTCTCTCTCAGGGTCCATGGTACAGGAGTAGATGGGTCAGTGTCTGCTGGTAGGGGGGTGTTTGGTGGCCTTAGTCCTGTATGGACAAGTTGTAGGGTCTCTCTCAGGGTCCATGGTACAGGAGTAGATGGGTCAGTGTCTGCTGGTAGGGGGGTGTTTGGTGGCCTTAGTCCTGTATGGACAAGTTGTAGGGTCTCTCTCAGGGTCCATGGTACAGGAGTAGATGGGTCAGTGTCTGCTGGTAGGGGGGTGTTTGGTGGCCTTAGTCCTGTATGGACAAGTTGTAGGGTCTCTCTCAGGGTCCATGGTACAGGAGTAGATGGGTCAGTGTCTGCTGGTAGGGGGGTGTTTGGTGGCCTTAGTCCTGTATGGACAAGTTGTAGGGTCTCTCTCAGGGTCCATGGTACAGGAGTAGATGGGTCAGTGTCTGCTGGTAGGGGGGTGTTTGGTGGCCTTAGTCCTGTATGGACAAGTTGTAGGGTCTCTCTCAGGGTCCATGGTACAGGAGTAGATGGGTCAGTGTCTGCTGGTAGGGGGGTGTTTGGTGGCCTTAGTCCTGTATGGACAAGTTGTAGCGTCTCTCTCAGGGTCCATGGTACAGGAGTAGATGGGTCAGTGTCTGCTGGTAGGGGGGTGTTGGGTGGCCTTGGTCCTGTATGGACAAGTTGTAGGGTCTCTCTCAGGGTCCATGGTACAGGAGTAGATGGGTCAGTGTCTGCTGGTAGGGGGGTGTTGGGTGGCCTTAGACCTGTATGGACAAGTTGTAGGGTCTCTCTCAGGGTCCATGGTACAGGAGTAGATGGGTCAGTGTCTGCTGGTAGGGGGGTGTTGGGTGGCCTTAGTCCTGTATGGACAAGTTGTAGGGTCTCTCTCAGGGTACATGGTACACAGTAGATGTGTCGGTGTTTGCTGGTAGGGGGGTGTTGGGTGGCCTTAGACCTGTATGGACAAGTTGTAGGGTCTCTTTCAGGGTCCATGGTACAGGAGTAGATGAGTCGGTTTCTGCTGGTAGGGGGGTGTTGGGTGGCCTTGGTCCTGTATGGACAAGTTGTAGGGTCTCTCTCAGGGTCCATGGTACAGGAGTAGATGGGTCAGTGTCTGCTGGTAGGGGGTGTTGGGTCGCCTTGGTCCTGTATTGACAAGTTGTAGGGTCTCTCTTCGGGTCCATGGTACACAGTAGATGGGTCAGTGTCTGCTGGTAGGGGGGTGTTGGGTGGCCTTAGACCTGTATGGACAAGTTGTAGGGTCTCTCTCAGGGTCCATGGTACAGGAGTAGATGGGTCAGTGTCTGCTGGTAGGGGGGTGTTGGGTGGCCTTAGTCCTGCATGGACAAGTTGTAGGGTCTCTCTCAGGGTCCATGGTACAGGAGTAGATGGGTCAGTGTCTGCTGGTAGGGGGGTGTTGGGTGGCCTTAGTCCTGTATGGACAAGTTGTAGGGTCTCTCTCAGGGTCCATGGTACAGGAGTAGATGGGTCAGTGTCTGCTGGTAGGGGGGTGTTGGGTGGCCTTAGTCCTGTATGGACAAGTTGTAGGGTCTCTCTCAGGGTCCATGGTACAGGAGTAGATGGGTCAGTGTCTGCTGGTAGGGGGGTGTTGGGTGGCCTTAGTCCTGTATGGACAAGTTGTAGGGTCTCTCTCAGGGTCCATGGTACAGGAGTAGATGGGTCAGTGTCTGCTGGTAGGGGGGTGTTGGGTGGCCTTGGTCCTGTATGGACAAGTTGTAGGGTCTCTCTCAGGGTCCATGGTACAGGAGTAGATGGGTCAGTGTCTGCTGGTAGGGGGGTGTTGGGTGGCCTTGGTCCAGCTTGGACAACTTGTAGGGTCTCTCTCAGGGTACATGGTACACAGTAGATGGGTCGGTGTCTGCTGGTAGGGGGTGTTGGGTGGCCTTGGTCCGGCATGGACAAATTGTAGGGTCTCTCTCAGGGTCCATGGTACACAGTAGATGGGTCGGTGTTTGCTGGTAGGGGGGTGTTGGGTGGCCTTGGTCCTGCATGGACAACTTTTAGGGTCTCTCTCAGGGTCCATGGTACAGGAGTAGATGAGTCGGTTTCTGCTGGTAGGGGGGTGTTGGGTGGCCTTGGTCCTGCATGGACAACTTGTAGGGTCTCTCTCAGGGTACATGGTACACAGTAGATGGGTCGGTGTCTGCTGGTAGGGGGTGTTGGGTGGCCTTGGTCCGGCATGGACAAATTGTAGGGTCTCTCTCAGGGTCCATGGTACACAGTAGATGGGTCGGTGTTTGCTGGTAGGGGGGTGTTGGGTGGCCTTAGACCTGTATGGACAAGTTGTAGATGAGTCGGTTGTTTGATGTTAAGGTCCACTGACTATTTGTCTCCTGGGATTTGTCCAGGTCACACTGTCCCCTTTATTGGTCTTTTGAGGTCTGATTTATTGGTCTCCGTGTTGGTCTGATTGTAGCATAGTCTTTAGTCTGATGCAAAGCTCTGCTTAGTGCTCCCTAAGCACTGGGTTCTTGTATGTACATGCCGTTCATTCACACCAAATGTGACTCCGTCCCTATCAGGAAGTTTGTGTGACTGTCTTCTGTTTTATTTCTGTCTCTTAGGTTCTACCTGATTGGAGGCCGGCTCGTATCTTCAGCACGTCATCCAGTCCTTCACTACCTGATGAAGACAGATTGGTCTACACCGGTAATATGACCAAGGCAGTCCTCGGTATGTTCTATTGTCTTCCTAAGGATATCCGATTGCTTGTGATTGTTTGGAAGGGAACCAAAGGTTCTTGAGGAACTGGGTGAAATTCAAACAGTGGGTGCCGCTTTCGACCGGTATCCCTCAATCAGCCGAGCGAAGGAGCTGGTCGGAAAATCTTCGTACGAACTGAGCCGGCTGCCGCTGTCAGAATACAAAAGAAACACCGGGGATTCTTCGATCAACACACTTGTAGCGTTGATGGAGGAGTCTGCTCTAATTTTACGCTCAGCCCGCAGGTTGAATGACAAAAACAGAGCAGAGTATGGCCAGCTTTAGGGGAATGTGTGAGCTGCATTTGCTGACCTCCTGTCGAAGGTGTTTGTATCTGGCTTTGATACTCAGCGAGTTCCTGACCTGAAACAAGAGGGCCATAAGACCTGACCAGCTCTATAGTTGTGCTCACATAGTGACTCATTGTAGTGTAAGGATCCAGATTTTTAAAGCTGCTGAATTTATAGAAAATACCAACTAACTGCTTTGTAGAGTTCTGATGACAACAGATCATTCAGCAGCAGAGTGTTCATGTGACTGTTTTTTCAAATGTCATTGAACTTAATTAAAAAGAAAATTGGCACTTTTTGAAAATAAGTATCCTTTTCCTGGTGTGTTGGCTTTGTGAAGTGAGCCTGTAGGCTTACTTCACAAAGCTTATCCACAAGGGTAAGGCTCCCTATTTTTATTAATGTGACATATGAGTTGTTTTCAGCGAGTCCAATGAAATTTAGAAATGACGAAGCGACAAAAATAAAGATCCTTATCCTTGTGTTAAAGTTTTGTGAATCGAGTCTTATATAACAAAAATCACCTATTCTGTGGTAGTTGTGCTGCTAATTCTGAGCTATAAACCATTAGTGTAGTATAGTACATACTGTATTTTTCTGTGTATAAGACGCTACTTTTTCATAAAAATGTTACCTAAAAATAGAGGGGCATCTTATACACGGGGGGCTGAGAGGAGAACCGCGGTTGCGAAAGTGCCGATACCACTGCAAACTAGCCTCACGAGTAAAACTTCGGATTGCAGAGACAAGATAAGTTTTCCTCCAATCATAAATCTTTTGTACCTGACGTCAGCTGTTGCTGGGGAGAGCGGATTACAGAGCCAAGATAAGTTTTCCTCCAATCATAAATCTTTTGTACCTGACGTCAGCTGTTGCTGGGGAGAGCGGATTACAGAGCCAAGATAAGTTTTCCTCCAATCATAAATCTTTTGTACCTGACGTCAGCTGTTGCTGGGGAGAGCGTGTAGCCAGTGCCCAGAGCGGTAATGTCGGAGCATAACGTGATTGACTCAGAGGTAAGTGTGATGCATTATATCATTTAAAATATTGATTTCTGAATTTTGGGTAAGAAAGGTTGGGGGCATCTTATAGATGGAAAAATACGGTATCTACTCCTCATATATAAGCTCTGTAATCACTTTAGTATCACAGAGGGGTCAGCAGCTGTGTGTTATTCTGATTAAAGTGGCCCATGGCTTGCCCTTGCTGGTCAAACAAAAAAGGTCGCTCCTCCCATCCCCAATAGCTTGTACTTTCCTTTTCTTGCTCTTCTCTCTTTGGCTGCTGGGAGTTAAGTGAATTACCTGCCACTTCCAGGTATTGGTGGGCATAGGACTCACTCTCCCGCATCCCATATGACAGGGCTAGGTGCCTCATGATTGGTTCAGCACTGTCACATGAGGTGGAGAAGTGGTCCATAGCCCTGCACTGTGTCGGCTCCAATAAGTCGGATTTGGAGCTTACACAGGAAGCTAAACTTACCTGAGGAAGAGTCAGAAAAATAGAATACATGCTGCTGGGAAGCAGGGAGTGAAGTAACCCTTTTCTTTTGCATTGCATAGGCGAAGGCATGGATCACTCTAAAATTGGAAAGCCCATGTAAAGAGTCAGGGATCCTAAATACAGTCAGTCATTTTTGAGCCTTTAGCCTGTGGGTCAGCCCTCTTCTGTCTTTTTATATCTGTTGGCATCCCAGATAAATGTCTGCTGGAGATCTCATTGCTAAAGTTTATGGGCAGTGTAAGTTGATTGTCCAGCTATATCTGTCTCAACCTTTACCCCAGAGGAACCCGTAAAATAATTTTCAGGTCTCGGGGAACCATTACTAAAACTAGGGATATACCGGTACTAGTATCGGTGCCGACGCCGAGTTTCCTGATTGGCCGGGCAGCCGGCTCCAAGCTCTCTCGTGACTTGGAAGCCTAGCTTTCTTATTGGGCGGGAAGTCATTACCCGACCCCCGGCTTTCTGATTGGCCAGAAAGCTGGCTTCATGCTCCCTCGTCACCTGGTGACAAGGGAGCATGGCGCCGGCTTCCCGGCCAACCAGGAAGCCGGGCACCGTGTTATGACTCGTTGCCTGGCTTCCTGACAGGCCAGATTCGACCAATCAGGAAGCCAGGCAACGAGTAATTACACAGCGCCTGGCTTCCTGATTGGACAGAAAGCCGGTTCCATGCTTCCTTGTCACTTGGTGACAAGGGAGCATGGAGACGGCTTGCATGTTTTTCCGGAAGCCGGGTGGCAAGTCTTTACAGGCTGCCCGGCTTCCTGGCTAACCAGGTGGCGAGTCATTATATGCCACCTGGCTTCCCTACTGGGACTTTCGGTATCGACGAGTACCAAAAAAAAAATATTAATGGTACTCAATACCGAAAAAACGGTTTTGCTGCATCCTTAACTAAAACCAATCCATTAGAGGTCAGTAGCAGGAATGCAACCCTTACAGACAACTAAATGATAATTGGTGTCATGCTGCTGGCTTTGTCAAGTGGTTTTAGTCCTGGAGCTCTGCATGCGCCACAAAAGGAGAGGCCAGTCAGCTACATGTAAAGGAACTCCTGGAGCAACCCTAGGGTTCCATGGCACCTTGGTTGGGAATTGCTAGTCTAGATCAATGAATGAGGTAATGTTTGATGCAGTGATACACCAGCTATCTGTATATGATATGTTATGTCATTTCTTTTTCCCACACAGGTGTGAAGTTCTTCTCCTATTCCACCAGCATGGTTAGCTTGGCTCTTCTGCCGTATATTTTGACAAAGACTGGCATTGGAGTGGAAAGCCTTGTTCTGAAAGTAGCTTTCTGTGGTGTGGTGGGATTCTTCACCTTTGTCACCCCCGTTACTCTGCACTTACTATCAAAGGGCTATGTGGCTTCCTTGTATCACAACAGTGACAAAGACTTGTACACCGCAGTTACATATAACGTCTTTCTTGCAGAAAAGAGGACTGTGTTTTCTCCTGCCGATGTGGAGGTACCTGGTGTGAGTAGGATGTTCACAACCTTCTATGCTAAGAAGAAATCAATGCTGCTTAATCCAGACCTGTTCCCAAATCCTTGGGACTACCATCACCTTATGGGCTATGATAAACCTTTCTCCTTTGATCCTGAAGATCTGAATAAACCCTCAAAGGACCAATAAAAATGTTCTTTGTGTATATGCAATGGTCTTTTTAATGTTCTTGTATAGCAAGGAATTGAGATTGATGACAACATCTTATTTCCAAAGTTTTAGAACACTTCTATTTTTAAAAGTATCTGCACAGGGCATCGTGAATAAAATGATGTGATAGGAGCTGTGTTGCCCCTGGCAACGTATTTTTCTGTGAAATGTGCAATGAGCCAAAGAGATTATTCATGTGTAGTGTATCCTGCAAACATGCATTGTTTGCCAAGTCACAGTCAGCCATGACAAATATGATTAACCTGGTCAGTACCAGTATGTTATCCCCCCTTCATTACCAAGCCAGTTTTCAGTTTTCAGCACTGCAGGTTTGGCTGAGAATTTCTCCATCACAGCACTCTGTCATTACAAAATTAATTTTATATAATTTTTGGGGACAAATAGAGCTTTCTTTTAGTGGTATTTAATAACCATTCTTTTTTATACTATATAAAGTAAAAAAGACAAAAGAAATGAGAAAAAAGCCTGTTTCCCTTTCATTTGTAAATCATAGCAAACAAAAATGTCCGGACAGAATGAAAATCACCGAAATGACCTCTTTTTAGAAAGTAGACAATCCAAGGTGATCTGATTTTTATTTTATTTTTTTAAAATGAATAAACATGCCAGTATTGAGGGGACTAAAACATGGAGCTGGGTATTAGTGCACAAGATACAATAAATGTACAGGTCATAGATGGAGGTGGAGGGGTTATTGTACAGTTCACATACAGTGGGAGGATGGAGATGAAGGGTTTAATGTATAGATGTGCCGGATAAGGGAGGTGAAAGGGTTAAAGGAGAACTATGGGGTCAGTGTTTTCCTAAGGATCACGGGAGGACATATACTAGCGTCCTCCTGTCACCCTAAGCTCAGTATATCGCAAGCTACAGCTCGCGGTATACTGAGACCGCTGCAGCCGGGACGGATCCCGATATTACTGTCGAGATCCACCAAGTTGCGTAAGTGACAGCGGGCACTGCCTATCTAGAGGCAGAGTCAGCTGTACCCGCCCCGTCCGTTCCTCCAGTCAGCGCTGGAGAATCGGGGCGGGACGGGGGGAATCCCTGCAGGGAGCCGTGACTGACATTTACGGCTCTCTGTGGGAGATAATCGAGAAGTGAGCAAGCGACGGTATATGTTTGCTCACTTCCTGATCTATTGAGCCGACGTGTGACAGTTTCATTGTCACACGTCAGCTCGAACTATGAGGATTTTCACTCGGCTCATAGTTCTCTTTTTAATATACAAGTCAGAGCATAGACAGAGTGGATCTAACTGCAGCTTCCTTCCACTAGTAAGTAATGAATGTATGAGTTACTTTACTCTCCCCTGCCTCCGATGTTAGAGGAAGGAGAGGGCTTGGCAATGTAAGCATTGCCATGTGATCGCTGGGATAACCAATCACAGGGCACAGAGCCAGTCCTACCGGCTGTGTTTGTGAAGCCGCTGCTCCCTGCTGTCTAATGACAGCGGAAGCAGTGGCTGCGTGCACACATGCCCTCACAGGAGGATGTACAGGAACGTCCTCCCCGAATAGTGTGCGGACCGGCCATTTTAATACAATGGCCGGTCTGCAGGTGGTTGAAGTGCAACTCCACTAAGAACAATCCAGTTCAGTTCTATGCATTACATAGTTACATAGTATTTGAGGTTGAATAAAGACATTAGTCCATCAAGTCCAACCTATTAGGATCTCATTCTAGGAGTACCTGTACCCCTGTATATTACCTGTACCCCTGTATATTACGGTCCCTTAAGAAATCGTCCAAAAGTTTCTTGAACAACTCCACATTATTTGCTGAAATCACCGCCTGTGGCAGTGAGTTCCAGACCCTAACTGATCTTACTGTGAAGAACCCCCTTCGCCCCTTGTGCTGGAATTTTGTTTCCACCAATTTTAGGTGATGGCCTCTAGTTTTTGTAATGGAGTTAATTTTAAACAGTTTATCGCTAATGTTGCTACCACCATTGAACATCTTGTACATGGAGATCATATCCCCCCTTAATCTCCTCACCTCTAATGTGAACATGTTTAAATTTAGTAGCCTTGTCTCGTAGCTCTGGTCCTCCATACCCCTAATTAGTTTGGTTGCCCTCCGCTGGACTTTTTCCAACTCAAGGACATCTTTTCTTAGTACTGGTGACCAGAACTGGACCGCGTACTCCAGATGAGGTCGAACCAATGATCTATAAAGTGGCAAAATTATAGACTTGTCCCTGCAATACATCCCCTTTTTAATACAGGACAAGACCCTGCTAGCTTTGTTTACAGCAGCCTGGCACTGCACACTAGCTTTCAGTTTGTGGTCTACAACGACTCCCAAATCCTTCTCCATTTCTGACTTCCCCAGCGGCATACCCGTAATTGTATAACCCATTTGTTTATTTTTAATTCCAAAGTGCATTACTTTGCATTTATCGACATTAAACCTCATCTGCCACATTAATGCCCACTCCCCTATTTTATCCAGGTCCTCCTGTAATGTTATAGTGTCTAAGTCCGTGTCTATTACCCTCCCAATTTTGGTGTCATCCGCAAACACGGAAATATCGCTGTTAACACCCTCCCCGATGTCATTAATAAATAAGTTGAACAATATGGGACCCAGCACAGAACCCTGAGGCACACCGCTCATTACACTAGCCCAGTCTGAAAAGGTGCCATTTACAGATACCCTCTGGACACGTTCCCGTAGCCAGTTCTCTATCCACGTACACACCACCTCATCTATGCCCATAGCCCTCAGCTTGTGTAGCAAGCGTTTGTGTGGTACCGTATCAAAGGCCTTTGAGAAATCCAGGTATACCACATCCACCGGCTTACCTCCGTCCATATCTCTACTTACCCCCTCATAAAAAGTTAGCAAGTTAGTTAGGCAGGAACGGTCTTTCCTGAACCCATGCTGATTGTCATTTACTATCCCGTTTTCCACGGGATAGTAAAGAGTTGCAAGAGTTCAAAGTGTGTTTGTAATCAAAACATTTTATGGGGGGGTTTGGACACTAGGAAATGTTAGAACCCCTTATCTCTTTTATTACTGTCCCTACCACGTAGCTTCAGCTGGCCCATTGTCAATAAGGCAGAATGTAAGAGTTTCTTTTTGCATTATGACTGGAACTGGAGGTGAGGGGAAATTTTCTAGTGGGGAAACCTGTTTTGATGACAACTGTCTCGTTTCCTGTTGCATCCTTGGAACCGGAAGTGAAGGAAAGGATTTAACCCTTCCCTACACTGTCCAGGGTAATGTGTGTAAACACATGATCAGTCTCAGAGTTGTAGTTAGAGGTATACTACTGGGTAAAGTGTCCAGCAGAAATGAATGCAGGAAATTCAGTCTCTGACCCCTAGGCCACTAACATCTGCACTGTTATGCTTTGTAAGTTTGGCACTTTTCAGGTTTTAAAGATGTCATGAATGAAACATGAAGGTTCCCATTACTCACCTCCTGAATATTACAAATGACTTGCTGGATGCTGGCCCTTTTTCTCCGTGCTTTAAACCAGAAATCCTGTTGTTGTTTTTTTAAAGTGCTCCCTGCACCCCCCCCTCCTGCAATTTGACATTTCCATTCATACATACCTTTTTTCCTTATGTTTTATGAACTTTATGGGTCTTTCACTGTCCCCTGTGGTGGATGGGCTTCTATACAGCAGAGTGGTGCTTAAATTATGACATCAGTGCAGTATTGTACTCTCCAGCCTGGGCTCGCAAGCACTGGGTTGACTGCGATGGCTGTCAATCAGTCCGGAAGAGGACTGGGAGTGCAGTTACTGCACAGGTGGGGGACAGTTTAGTATTGCAGCACAATTTTCTAGCTAGGCAGAGCCAGCTGTCACTCACGCAGCTGGGCGGATCCCGTCATCTAAGTCGGGATCCGCTCCGGCTGCGGCGTCTCAGTATACCGCGAGCTATACTGAGCTTAGGGTAACGGGAGGATGCTAGTTTGTGTCCTCACGTTACCCTAAGGAGAACTTTGGGGAAAAACACTGACCCCATAGTTCTCCTTTAAAGTAACTTGGCAACATATAGCTTGCTAAAGCACCGTGTACCATAAACGGTTGTCATGTCTTTTTTTTTTAAATATAAAATCTATATATAACAGTGCCCTTAGAACCAGATAATGCCGCATGGTCAGCAGGTTCATTATATTTCTGTGCATGATGTTACTACAGTGTCAAATTTCTCAACCACTTTTCCAGGAACCCCAAGGAGGAAGAACTGTGAACAGTTTTTTGTGCAACTTTGTAAATAACATTACAAGAACGAAACCTAAGGACAAGTCTGTCAATGTCACTGTATGTTCTTGTAGTCAGAAAACATTTTCAGGGTTATTCATAAAAGGGTGAAGAGTTTGGAGAAGGCCGGAGAAGTAAACAACCTAGAACAACATAGCTGAACTGGAAAAAATTCTCCAATTCAGCTCACTTTCCAGTTCAGCTATGTTGTCCTAGATTGTTCACTTCTCCGGCCTTCTCCAAACTCTTCACCCTTTTGTGAATAACCCTGTTTGTTTCTTTTTACACCCATGAACTGGGTTAGTAATTCTGTATACAGATCAGTGCTTTAAGTCTCCCTGTATTTTGTACAACGCTGCACAAACTGTTTGCGCTATATAAATCCTGTATTATAACAAGTTGTGTTTGACATTACAGGCTTCTAAGCTGATCTTTAGAACTGAACAGCCACTTTAAGGCCCCGTTCACACACTGCATCCTGGGATTGCTGTGGCAAGGACCTACAGATTCCTGCGGCAGGAATCCCAGGTGTCCCTATTCAGATGCGGCCGCTGTACCCATTGAAATAAATGACAGGGTTCTCTCAACAGCAGTCTGCGTGTAATCATATATGATGCAATTACATGCAGTTTAGAATAGATGATTGTCACTGGATGCATCTATCCTGTCATTTACTTTAATGGGTACAATGGCTGCATCTGAATGAGGACACCTGGGATTTCTGCCACAGCAATCCGTAGGTTCTTG